TTCTTTCCACATCTTTGGATTCATGAATGGTAGAGATGAGAAAAACCCATTACATAGTCTTAATAGAAATGTTCAATAGCTTTCTTTCCCCTCTAATTGAAAACATTGCTCCCACTTCACTCCAGAGAGAGCAGAGAAATTAGTGCATATTGTCCTTTTTGTCTAATCTTGAACATTACCTTATCTCCTCTTTGCTAGGAATTGTTTTGGACAAGAGGAGGCTGAGGAGGAGCTCTGCCTTCTTTGCTTAAGTCCTCTGTTCTTCTGTTACGGAAGTCAGGCCTACTCCATCAGAGATTTGGCCACTCAACATTTGACATCAGAGTAATAAATATAAATGATTACATTTCTCAAACTTTTCCTGCACACCAGCCACTGTACTAAGTGCTTTGTCTATGTTATCACATTTAATGTGTGTAATACTCTGAAGTAGATGACCTTTACACAGATGAGGAAATTCCAGTTTCTCTAAGTCAAGAGGACTTTCCTTCACGGGCATATTTCCATTACGGGTAGACATCTTTCCTTGCCTCTCCTCCCGTGAACTTCCCATGAAGCCTCACTAGCAATGTTTTCTCATGTCCCCGTGGCTTCATGGATGTTCCCATGCTTACTGGCTTTGAAATCCTGCACAGGAAAACATCCTGGTAAGAACTGTGACTGCTGCTTCTCTCTCCAGGTGGAATAGGAGGTAGAAGGAGGACTTTATAATGAGGATCTGAAGTTTTCAAAGCTCTCTTGGAGGCCCAGTTGTGCAGTAGCACAGGACAGATGTGGTGAAATTGGGCAAGGTTCTTGCCAGGAAGGCTGTTCCCTGAGGATTGTTATTGGTTTGTTTGCTGCTGCTGTAGCTCTGAGGTCACCCCTTAGGGCCGTAGACACGATGAAGAGGGACATCTGAGTGGATGTGAGGAAAAAGTTTCCAGTCTCGAGGGCATGTCCTCCTCCTACAACATGCCCTTGAGGTCAGGACCCTTCTCTCTGCTTTGACTCAGCTGGCCCTCTTCATAGTGTCTGTGGGTCATTTTCTTCAGAGCCTTGTGACTTTGGAGCAACTAGAGTCATGTCAAAAAGTCTCCTACCTAGTCTACCTCAGATAGTCTCAGGCCTAGAAAGTTAGCTCACACTAGCTCCAGTTTTGGGTTATGTTCCTTATGAGATGCTATTTCTGCTCCTTAGATAGATCCAGGGCGAAACAATTTCCTTGAGAGCCATCTACCCAAGACTGGGCGATACCTCCCTGGACACCCTCCTCCCCCTTCAAGCTGCCACCCCCAGGAACAGAAATCTCACAACTAATCACTTTTCTTTTCCCATTTTTCAGCCTTCAAGTAAGAATGTGTCAAGATGCAACCTTGGTAATTGGCGCAAACCTCTTATTCGTTTTGGACCTCAGCTTTGGCCTTTAAAGTCTGAATAGCCCAATGCTTATTTCAACATAATTCCTGGCATCCCTGAACTTGGCTGTGATCAAGATCATGTGAAGGAGTGGGTGACTGTCAAATCTAATCAGTTAATGCATTAGTATGAAAACAAGTCAGGTCATTTGGGTTCATTGTTAATATCGGAATAAGCTCTTTCAAATATTGGTGAGCACTCTGAATGTAACTGGAAGTGAAATTTTCCTTCTGAACTTTAAAAGTTGAAATTCTATCAGTTGGTGGAAATACAAATACATGATTATTATTTTAAGGAAAATGTAATTATTGATTGTAAAATCTTATACTTGGCTTCCCCTATAGCTCAGAGGTAAAGAATCTGCCTGTAGTGGAGGAGATGCAGGGGACGTTGGTTTGATCCCTGGGTAGGGATGACCCCCTGGAGAAGGCAGGCAACCCACTCCAGTATTCTTGCCTGAATAATCATATGCACAGAGGAGCCTGGCGGGCTACAGTCCAAAGGATCGCAAAGAGTTGAACACAACTGAGCAGCTGAGTACGAGCACAAGCACAAAAGCTTATACTACATATAGAATTCATTAAGAATTCTCAGTTAAAAAATAGTCTCTTATTTTTATTTATATTTTATTTTTCTATTTTCATTAGTTGACAGTTATATAAATAGTAGAAGAGTATAGATTACCAGGATAACTTTAGGAAAAAACCTTATATACTTTTTGAGCCAAAAATATTTACAATATTTCAATAAACAGTACAGTTCAGTTCAATCTGTCCAACTCTGCGATCCTATGGACTGCAGCACGCCAGGCTTCTCTGTCCATCACCAAATCCCAGAACTTGCTCAAACTCATGTCCATTGAGTCAGTGACGCCATTCAACCATCTCATCCTCTGTCGTCCCCTTCTCCTCCCGCTTTCAACCTTTCCCAGCATCAAGGTCTTTTCAAATGAGTCAGTTCTTCTCATCAGGTGGTCAAAGTGTTGGAGTTTCAGCTTCAGAATCAGCCCTTCCAATGAACATTCAGGACTGATTTCCTTTAGGATGGACTGGTTTGATCTCCTTGCAGTCCAAGGGACTCTCGAGAGTCTTCTCCAGCACCACAGTTCAAAAGCATCAATTCTTCGCTACTCAGCTTTTTTGTAGTCCAGCTCTCACATCCATACATGACTACTGGAAAAATCGTAGCTTTGACTAGATGGACCTTTGTTGGCAAAGTAATGTCTCTGCTTTTTTAATATGCTGTCTAGTTTGGTCATAGCTTTTCTTCCAAGGAGCGTCTTTTAATTTCATGGCTGCAATCACCATCTGCAGTGATTTTGGAGCCCCCCCCCCAAATAAAGTCTGTCACTATTCCCATTGTTTCCCCATCTATCTGCCATGAAGTGATGAGACTGGATGCCATGATCTTAGTTTTTGGGATGTTGAGTTTTAAGCCTACTTTTTCCATTCTCCTCATTCATGTTCATCAAGAGGCTCTTTAGTTCTTCATTTTATGCCATAAGGGTGGTATCATCTGCATATATGAGGTTATTGATATTTCTCCTGGAAATCTTGATTCCAGTTTGTGCTTCATCCAGCCCGGCATTTCGCATGATGTACTCTGCATATAAGTTAAATGAGCAGGGTGACAATATACAGTCTCGACATACTCCTTTCTCAATTTGGAACCAGTCTGTTGTTCCATGTCCAGTTCTAACTGTTGCTTCTTGACCTGCATACAGA